CAAATTTTTATTTCCTCAAGTGGGCTAATATTTACTCAAATACTCTTACAAGATTTAATTGACAGTGTGTATAAAGCTCTTATAATAGTGTCTGACACTTAATAAGAGCTTGATAGAGGGTAATCAATATTTTTTTTACAATAACATATATTCAAATAAAAACCAAAGCATAAACAATTTCTTAGTCAACCTTGTTTTTTATAAGGCCAGTATGTTGGATGTTATGGGAGAAAAAGAGAAGCACTGTCTCCAAGAACTATAAATAACTGCTCATTCAGCATCATGGATTATTTTAAATATTTCATATCTTTCAAATTGTTCATATCTTTTCAAATCTTTCAAGGGTTTGCTTTTAAGGGTTGGAGTTTTAAGTTTATGAAACCCAAAACAAAACCCACTGCCACTGAGTGGATCCTGACTTATAGTGACCCCAGAAGGGTTTCCGAGTTATGCAAGCGTAGAGAATTAGCACCCCTCCCTCCAATCACTGGCTCTATTCTCCACCACTGAAATGTCTGTCTTAAGACATGTAAACCCATCCATCTCTTTCTTTCTCCCAATTTCTACTTTCACTTATTCCACGTTAAAGTTTTTCATTAATATAATTGGACTATTTCTTACACCTGACCATGAAACCAATTAATCAGCACATGTACGCTACTCTTGACTTCTTCATCCCTGTTTCATAGTTCTCTCCTCAGGAGGAGAGATGCTTTCCTGCCTCCAAAATGCCAAAGACTATGGTTTAAAGTTGGGAGATGTTTCATCTTTGTACATCCTTTCTACAAAAACTGTTTCTCCAGAGGATACTATTAGAGACAACTCAAAAAACTCATGCAGCAGATGGAACTGTTCTTATTCTGATTGTGGTGGGGGCTACATGAATCTATCATGTACTAAAAACTCAGAACTGTACACCAAAAATCCATTTTTTCTTAATGTAAATTAAAAAACAACAAAAACTCATACTGCAATATAACCAATCTGTCCTTCTCCATCAAACACATTTCAGTAACTTCCTCTTCTCTCTTTAAAAATAAAATTCCTCTATTTGTTCCATTTTTCTAACCTTTGGAAGTAAACTCTGTAACTCTCATATTATGCTTCATCAATTCACATCTATAAAATTTATACCTTAACATTAAAACAGTTACTTAAAATCTAACTCAACCTATAATCAACAGCCATACCACAAAAAAACCTAAATTTTAACTGGAACTGAAAAATTATAAAGTCTTAAAAAATGATAATATTGTATTAAGTATAGTTTTATGGTTATATATTCTCCTCTCTTTGAAATTTGATAATCTATGTATGGTATTTCACACATGCTGCTTCTCAGTTACTAGAAACATTTGGTAAGCTACAATATTCATCCTTAAAATAACTGCATAAATCGGAATTCTGTACTTGCCCAATTACCTAATCTATCTTAATAAAAAGTTCTAAGCTTTTTGTTCCTTAATGGCAGTTTCTCCAGTCTCCTGATTGTTTCTGATGTTGCTTTAAATGTATCCTTAATATGTCTCAAGGAGTCTTACAGGGCCTCCATTAAACCATTGTGTAAATATACCCTTATGGAAAGATGCAGATACTCTTTGGTGAGAGGCTGATGCACTGGGAGAGAGGGAAGAGATAGAGGCACCATTTTCTCTGAGAACCAGTAAGATGTTTGTCAGCTGAATCATAGATATGGGTCTATTGTTTTCGTATGTCTATCCCTTACTCATTCAATAATACACAATAAATTCCAGGTATATGACAAAGAATGTACTAGCTGATAAACCAAAAAACCAAACCCGTTGCTGTCCAGTTGAGTACTAGGTGATAAGGATATGGAAACAGTTTAGCAAGCAAAAGCAGACAAATATTGGAACACAGACAAACAGAAATTTACTAGATAGCATGGTATGTACATAATACCAGCAGTGTTTTCCTATGCTAGAAGCTCTGGACAGATGTTGATCATATCCTACCCTCCCGTAATATACAGCACCTAGCAGCACCACAGAGGAGGGAGTACAATAATTTTATTGCTATTTGTGTTCAGACAAAAGTTTCCTGTTGAAACTAAGTAACAGCCCTTGTATTTGCTGGCAAATACACACACAACCAGGCTCCAAAACATGACTAGCATTCTGCTTAATCTGGAGCAAAATAAGGACTAGAAACATAACTTTCAGAAAGATCAATTTATAAGTCTTTCTAGAAAAAAATACAACAGAAATTTACTACAGTTACCCTCTCTATGTTCTGACTGATGCATCAATGGCATTATTAAGGAATTCAAAATGTTATGACTCAGACAAGATAATTCTCAGACTTCTAAGCATCACAGTTAACACACTCAGATAAACATGCACTGTTACCTTATTCATAAGGTGGCAAGTCTTGCTTTACTGAAAGTATATTAGTCATAAGTCAGACACAACTTTTAGATTTTCTTCACTGGAAGAATATGGTTCTGTACTAATTTATATTACAACATTTTATTAATGATTAATCCTTGTCTTTCAGAAATATGGTATAAACAGCATCCAAAACACGTTACCCAACTGACTTACAAATTGAAGCAGTGTTTCTGGGGAAAAAAGGAGAATGACTTGGAGGTAGAGAGGGACATCAGATAACCTTCAAAGACATTTTACCAGGATGGTGGTGGAGGGAGGGAGGAGGGAAGAGGAGGGGCTGGAATGAACCAGAACTTCATGTACAGTATTTTCAGCTATGTGGAAGATACTGATTCCAGGAGTTCTGACAGTAGAGCACAAAGAAGAAGAAATCCTTAAGAAACAAAACCCACTATGTGACTGTAAAAAACAAAACAAAAAAATAGATATTAATGTCTAACATCTTCAAGAAAAAAATTAAGAAACAGAGAAAACAAAAACTATTTCTTAAAAATCAAAAGAATACACACTTCAAAGCAGATTACATACTGCTTGGAAGAGAACATTTTCTTCTGCCAATATTCTACCTTCTCCCTCCACTATTAGTTAACCTTTTACTATGTCCTGAGCATAGTAATAAGCCCTTTACATTCATTATTTTTTAAATCCCAAAGCAAGCCTTTGAGGGAGGTTCTATTATTACCCCCATTTTAGAGGTGAGGAAATATTCTACCTATAACATAGGCCAGATCTCAAAACGTAAAATTTTATCTGTGATACTATACAGCTAGAGCTTTAAATTATCTCTAAGCACTCACCTGGACTTTGAACACAAAAAGGTTAAAAAAAAAAAAAAAGCTTCCATTCCACCTCCAAAGCGTATATAACCCTTTTTCACACCTTGCAACATTTTAACTTTCACAAGCAACAATGTTCATAAATTGAAGTCAAGCTAAAGAAAAACTACCCTACAAGGAACAGGGAAGCAGTATGACTGCTTAGAGAGTCTCTTTTGGTTTAGATAGTCTGGTTTTGAATCTACACAGTACCACCAATGAATGCTGAGTGACCTTGATCGAGTTACTTTAATCCCGGATTTCATTTCCTCACCTGTAAAATGGGGATAATAATAATAGCACCTCCCTCAAAGGTTTGCTGTAGGATTAAAAAAGATAATGCATACAAAGGCCTTACTACTGTGCTCAGTGTATAGTAAAGGGTCAATTGATGGTGGAGGGAGAACAGCCACACATATAAACTCACCAAACCAAAACAGTAAAACATCAAAAGCCTACATCCTGAAAATTCCATTACAGGAAAGGAGGGAATGATTATTTGATTGCATTGTAAAGAAATTTTTTCTAAAGATTAAACTCAAATTCAATCTACTCCTAATTTTTCAGGGGATGAATGCATTTGGGATGGGGCAGAAAAGATGCTGCAGTGCATCGGTGACACACACATAAAAATGGCTCCAGTCAGAGAATCATCTTAATTACCAATATAAAAGGTTAAATCCACTTTAACAAATACTAAAGTTAGGCATGCCAGGTACTTAACATAGCCCTATCATTTTTATTTTGAGGAGAAAGCTACCAAATACTTAACATTCAAGAATCCTCTATTCCTTCTGGTGCATTCCAAATGAAAATCTAGTTCTCTAGAGCAGAGAACAATTCCAAGTGGCCTAGCGAGGTATGAATGTACGAACCTAGGCTGAAGACCAGCCAATGCGGAAATCCGGGTAGCTTTAGATGTCAGCAAACATCAGGCATGTTGGAAACCTCAAAAAATCTCCAATAAAGTAAAAACAAATATATATTCCTTTAAAAGGGATTAGATGCATTCCTCCCGTGTAAGGAAGACTATCGATATCCCTATTGGTCCTCATACCCTTTTCTTCAGTCCTAAAGTGGGCCTTTAGCATAACACAAATACTAATCCTATCTCAAAGAAAGGAAGCTGAAAACTGGGATTCACCATGCAGGTTAAGGGATAGAGCGGCCTTGGGTGAGAAAAGATTACCCGAACCCTCCCCTAGAGTTAGCAGCACCTCCCTAGCGGAAGTAGGGTTGGTCCAGATTCCCCGAAAATCGTCTAACCGAGTCTGGTCTTTAACTCAGTCTCTCCCACGCAATGCTCATTGCAAACCATATCCCCACCACACACGGAGAAGACGGAGGCAGCAGAGGCCCTCAGGTTGTTTGGGGGACGCATCCACCACATTAGAAAAAACCCGCGCGCCCGCCGGGCCTGCAGCATGGAAACTCCCTTCGTACCCGGCAAGGCGCGTAATCCTCCCGTGGGACCCGAGCTAGGGACTAGATGGGAGGAAGACCGACGGGTCCGGAACTGCCGCTGAAGACCACATGGGGCGGGTATGACTCCGGTTTCCCGCTCCCCGACCAGAAGGCCGAGAATCCCTCAGCCACAGAGAAAATGGTAACCAAAGAGAAAGAAGGGGATGCCTGGACTTGAGGCCCTCTCCACGCGCCCCACTGTCTCCGGGCGCCAGGGCCAGGGCGCACTCAAAGCCTCAGATCGCCCCTCGCCAGCCCTTCGCGATGGGGCCCGCTTTGATCGCGGCCCCGACGCCCTCGCTTTCCTTACCGGCCAGCGTGAGTGTCAAGCTGAGCGATTTGCGCACTTCGAGGGTCTCCGCCGAGCTCCGACCTAGGGGAGGGGAAGGGGAGGCTAGGGTTAGAGGAGGGGCCGGAAGGGCCACCGGACCAGGAAAGCCAAAGCAGGGGATGGACAAACTGCCAAAACACTTTGCCTGCTTCCCGAAAGGTAGAGCGCTACCGAGAAAAAGAAGCAAGATGGCGGCTAGCCAGCCCCTACGTCCTACGTCATGCCGCTGCGTACGTAAGGCAAATCTCCGCAAGACCACCCCTCGGCGCCTAGAGTGCAAGATCACGTGACGCCGCCGTGGCGGCTCGACCCGCTCCTCAACCCTGGCGGAAGGCGACAGCGCCCCTCGCTGGGCGGAGGGAGCTCAGGCAACCAGAGTTAGGCTGCAGGGCAAAGCCATGAACCTCTCCCGCAACTCCTGAATTGACCAGGATGACAAGTTGATATGGAGCCCTGGTGGCGCAGTGGTTAAAGCGCTAGGTTGCTAATGGAAAGGTCAGCAGTTTGAACCCAGCAGCCGCTTTGCCGGTGGAAAGATGTGGCAATCGGCGTCCGTAAAGATTTACAACCTTAGAAACCCCAGGGGGCAGTTCTATTCTGTCCTTACAGGGTCGCTGTGAGTTGGAATTCACTCTGCGGCAGTGGGTTCGGTTTTTGATTTTGGTATCTGATAGGTGAGTGTGTAAATTGGCTCAAGCCACAGTCTGACAGTATGTATCAAAATTTTTGGTATCTGATGGGTGACTGTAAATTGGTTCAAGCCACAGTTTGACAGTATGTTTCAAAATTTTTGGTATCTGATGGGTGAGTGTGTAAATTGGTTCAAGCCACAGTTTGACAGTATGTATCAAAATTAAACTGTCCGTAATCTTTAATGTTGCTATCTTATATGTACATGCACAATATTCATAATACCAAACTTGTCCATCAATAAATGGATAAATGCATATTATGGGTATTTAAATGCCATTAAATTCTGAATAATATTTAATGATGAGGGAAGTGCAGGCATGCCATAATATGCTTATGAAATAATTATGCTTTAAAAATATAAACATGCATATTCATAGGAAAAAGACTCGAAAATGTACTCTGAAATGTTAATAATGGTAAACATGTTGACAATGGTTACCTTTGAGCAGTAAAATTACAAATATATATATATATTCCTTTCTATAATTTCCAAATTTTATAATTAGAAAAAATTTGATATGTAACAAAAAAATTAGTATGCCATAACATTGTTAGGGGGAACAAATGACTCTGTGTGTGTGTGTGTGTGTGTGTGTGTGTGTGTGTGTGTGTGTGTGTGTGTGTGTGTGTGTGTGTGAGCTGTGTGTATATATATATATATATAATATATTGTTGTGTCTGTTTAAGATTGAAAAAGCTTTCCATATTTTTAGGCTTTCGAGTAAAACAAGGACAGGTAGAGGATTGACCTTTAATAGAAGAAGAAGAAAACAGGGGCAGCTCTAGGGAAATTTGATGATTTGATGGGTGGGAACATAAGGTAAGTCTCATCAAGTGGCTTCTGTTTTCTCAGTGACGTAGAGGCAAGGCAATCTGCTGAGAGAGCTTTGGGAAGGTGCAAGTAGGAATTTGTGGAGAAGATTCAAAAGTTATTTCAGAGTGTGAAAAGGTAAACCTACAGAGAAGCATTAGCATGCTGTGCTGAGAGCACTTTTGAAGTTTGTGATTATAAAATGTAAAATAAGCCATTTCGTTTATTTATATGAGTTCTCTGGAAGTGTTCAGCTCTTTGTGGGCAGGAAATGAGAAGATAGATAGTAAAATTCACCCATGCTGGGTTTTACTAGACAAGTGTAATGTAGGGAGGTGAGAATATCTATAAGAGGGAGTATAATGATGACCCATGTTGTGAAAATTAATAAGATAGAAAATGTAAAGTACCTGATATTGTGTTTGAGCATATGGCCAGTATGTAATAAATGGTAACTTTTGTTTACTTTATGAATTATCTGTGGTATATTTTAAATCCAAGTATTACTTGCAACCTAACCTGGTCTGAGCTGTCTTCCCCACTAGTAGTTAGTACATGTTCATGGAGTTGCCACAGTAGCAATGTTAGAATAAATAAAACAATAATGAAAGGTAAATCATAGCATTCCACCCTCCCAGCTGATATTGATAGTCATTTAAAATGGAAAAGCATATCTGATATCGGGTCGTTGCCAGGGAAGGGCCCACTGGCTGTCCCCAAGAGGTCAGGGAAGCATTACTTTGGTGAATTTCCCACAGCCTCTGGGATCTGGTCTAGTGTCCTGGTCTCACAAATATCCTTGTTTTAGCAATCAGATGAGCTTACATTAACCAAGGTCATAAGACAGGTATATACAACCAGAATATTAATTTATTAATTTCCAATAGCTATAATTTATACACCTGAGTACTCCCAACTGCAAAGCAAAAGCATTTTCTATGTAGCCAAGCCTACATAGGAAACCAAAGATACTATCAGAAGGTTGTTTGATGTGCACAGATTCAGAACATGTGCAGTTAGGTCAGTAGACAGTTCTTCATTCATCTATCTCCATGACGGTGATTTTGTCTCCCCAAAATAGAAAAACTCAATTACCAGTGGTGTCGACTTTCAACGTTGATCTCCAGTAGAGCAGGGACATCCTGCTGTGCTGCAAACTTGGGCTCCTTCTCTCCTTAACTGGTACTGATGTGCCCCTGTATGCTCCTTTCTCTGTTTCTAAGTGTGCTGCCAAAACTTCTTACCAATGATGTATTCTTTCAGTAGTAATTAAGTTAGAGTCGAGTCAGGCCCGAATTGTGATTTAAAGATAATTTTGCTTATTTCTGCCCTTATCCATTTTAAAATTTATCTATCTTGAAGTTTAACTGTCAAAGAGGAGTCTTATTTTCCTTATTTCCAAGATGTTGGGAGAAATCTCACTGCAACCACCATGTATTGATGCAACATCCAAAGCCAAATAACATTCTTTTTAAATGTCCTCTGTCTTGGATTACTTGAAAGCAGAGCTAAATTCATCATAAAAAATTTTTTCCATGACAGACTGAATGAAAACTTGTCATTTAATTTCCAGTGCGGCCTTTTAAATATTTGTAGGGTAACATTACCAACAATGTCTATATCTCTGCTATTCATAAGATTTTCACTGGCTAGTTTTTTCAGAAGTAGACCACCAGGTCCTTCCTCCTAGTCTGTCTTAGTCTGGAAGCTTTGTTGAAACCTGTCCACCATAGGTGACCTTGCTGGTATGTGAAATACCAGCGGCATAATGTCCTGCATCACAGCAACGAGCAAGCCACCACAGTACAACAAACTGACAGATGAGTGAATAAACTGAAACCCGTTGCCTTCGAGTTGATTCCGACTCATAGTGACCCCATTAGACAGAGAAGAACTGCCCTCTAGCGTTTCCAAGGAGCAGCTGGTAGATTCCAACTGCTGACCTTTTGGTTAGCAGCCAAGCTCTTAACCACTGTGCCACGAGGGCTCCGACGAGTGAATAGCAGTGGAATATTGTTCAGATATAATGCTGGAAGATGAGCCCCTCAGGTTGGATGTCACTCAGAATACCCCTAGGGAAGAGCTGCTTCCTCAAAGTAGAGTCAACCTTTATGATGTGGATGGAGTCAAGCTTTTGGGACCTTCATTTGCTGATGTGGCACAACTCAAAATGAGAAGAAACAGCTGCAAACATCCATTAATAATGGAACTTGGAATGTACCAAGTATGAATCTAGGAAAATTGGAAGTCATCAAAAATGAAATGGAAACACATAAAGACTGATATCCTAGGCATTAGTGAACTGAAATGGATTGTTATTGACATTTTGAATCGGACAGTGATGTGGTCCACATACCGGGAATGACTAATGGAAGAGGAATAGTGTTGCATTCATCATCAAAAAAGAACATTTCAAGATCTATCCTGAAGTACAATGCTGTCAGTGATAGGATAATATCCATATGCCTGCAAGGAAGACCAGTTAATATGACTATTATTCAAATTTACACACCAACCACTAATGCCAAAGATAAAGAAAATTGAAGATTTTTACCAACTTCTGAAGCTTGAAATTGATCAAACATGAAATCAAGATGCATTTTTAATTACCGTCAATTGGAATGCGGAAGCTGGAAACGAAGGATTGGTAGTTGGAGATTATGGCCTTGGTAATGGTAACGATGCTGGAGATGCAAGATAGAATTTTGCAAGACCAGTGACTTATTCATTGCAAATACATTTTTTCAACAGCATAAATGGCCACATACGTGTGGACCTCGCCTGATGGAATACATGGGAATCAAATAGACTACATCTGTGGAAAGAGATCATGGAGAAGTTCAACATCATTGGTTAGAGTGAGGCTAGGGGCCCACTGCAGGACAGACCAAAAATTGCTCATATACAAGTAAAAGTTGAAGCTGAAGAAAATTAAAACAAGTCCGTGAGAACTAAAAAAAGACCTTGAGTATATCCCACCTGAATTTAGAGACCATCTCAAGAATAGATTTGATACATCGAACATTAATGACTGAAGACCAGATGAGTTGTGGGATGACATCAAGGACATCATGCATGAAGAAAGAAAAAGATCATTAAAAAGACAGGAAAGAAAGACCAAAATGGATGTCAGAAGAGACTCTGAAACTTGCTCTTAAATGTAAAGTAGCTAAAGTGAAAGGAAGAAATAAGAAAGTAAAAGAGCTGAACAGAAGATTTCAAAGGGCGGCTCAAGAAGACAAAGTAAAATATAATGACTTGTGGAAAGACCTGGAGTTAGAAAACCAAAAGGGAAGAACACACTTGGCATCTCTCAAGCTGAAACAACTGAAGAAAAAAATTCAAGCCTCAAGTTGCAATATGGAATGATTCTGTGAACAAAGTATCGAATGATTGTGAAGCATCAAAAGAAGATAGAGGGAATATACAGAGTCACTGTCCCAAAAAGAATTGAACAATGTTCAACCATTTCAGGAGGTAGTTTATAATTAAGAACTGATAGTACTGAAGGAAGAAATCGAAGCTGCATTGAAAGCACTGGCAAAATACAAGGCTCCAGGAATTGACAGAATACCAACTGAGATGATTCGACAAATGGATGCAACGCTGGAAGCACCCATTAGTCTATGCCAAGAAATTTGGAAGATGGCTCCCTGGCCAACCAATTGGAAGAGATCCATATTTGTAACCATTCCAAAGAATGGTGTTCCAACAGAATGCAGAAATTATTGAACAATATCATTAATATTACACACAAGTAAAACTTT